AAAGAAAGAAAGAAACCAAAAAGAATGATACTAAGGATTGGAATCCTCGAGTCCTTGCTTACCCACTGAACCATCTCCCAGTCACTAATTTTAACTTCTCAAATGAAAAAAAAAGACAGTTCTGGTCTGTGTTTTTTATGAACTTGATACAAGCTACAGTTATCTGAGAAAAAGGAAGAGAAAATGCCTCCATCAGATTGGTCTGTAGGCAAAGCCTGTGGGAGTATTTTCTTTATTAATGACTAAAGTGAGAGGGCCCAGCCTCTGCGGGAAGAACCATCTTGGGATGTTAAGAAAGCAAACTGAGAAAGCCATGAGAAACCAGTAACGAGCTCTCCTTCAAGGTCTCAGCTTCCGTGTCTGCCTCCAGGTTCCTGCCTTGAGTTACTGTCCTGATTTACTTCAAAGACGGACTATGATGTGGAAGTATAAGCTCAAATAAACACCCCAAATTGTTTTTGGTCATAATGTTTTAGCACAGCAAAAGAAACTCTAACTAAGACACGATCTCTGTGGTCTCATTAGCAGAAGGAAGATGACAAAGGGAACATCATTGGATGTCATCATAAGATACACATTGTGCCACTGTGGCTTTAAGGGCCTCAGCCTTCACAAGTCAACCTGTTGCAAATGTAGCTGTTTGCCAGGCACAAGTGTGACTGGAGTGCCAATCAAGGCTAAGAGGTGAAACACTCAGGACTAGGCGAATAAGGCACTTAAATTTGTCTATTGCAGATTCAGACAAGAACTCCATAAAGGAATAATAGCTAAACCCTAGAGGGAGGTAATATCCAATTCCAAACATGTATCCTTTCTACATGCACTCATCCTAAGCTAGCTCAATCACAAAAAAGAAAAGGAAAAAATTTCTAATGCTCTAATTAACCTGAGAGTGAGAAGCTAAAAAAGAAAAACATAAATTATAATTCCAAAAATAAACAAACCAAGAACAAGAAAAGAAAACTGGAAGTCACCCAAAGCTAGGGCATACTTCTGGATAAGTAGGGATCATAACAAGAAACTGAAAGTACCAAGCTTATGAGGAACTGAAGAAAGAAATAAGGATAATGATGACTAAAGGCACTTCAGTTTGTTATACTATTGTGTTGGTTTGGTTTTGTTTTTGGTATGCTAAACCACGGGGAAAAATATTTATATCTTATACCAAAATAACTCTATCAAAGCTAAGACAAAAAAAACCTTGCTATGTTAACAGTACTTTTGTTTCTAATTTCTTTAAAAGTCAGATTGATAAGGAGATAAGTTATTGAGTTAAACTGTCCTATTCATGATGATACTGAATTAAGTCCATTAAAGTTTGGATTTAGCATTAATAAAGCAGGGTAAATAACTTCACCAAATTTCCTTCACACACACTGAAAATACATTACAAACTATACAGCATAAAAACATAAGCTTTTAGCTGGGCAGTGGTGGAGCAGGCCTTTAATCCCAGCACTGGGGAGGCAGAGGCAGGCAGATCTCTGTGAGTTTGAGGCTAGCTTGGTCTACAAAGCTAGTTTCAGGGTAATCAGGGCCACTACACAGAGAAACCCTGTCTTGAAAAACCAAAGGGAGAAAAAAAAAAGGATTTTGTTCTTTTAGTAAAAAAATAAGCAGTTTATTTCACTACCTGTGGTCCAGGTCACAGTCCAGAAAACATTAAAGACTTTCATCTTTTTTGTTTTGTATTTTTTGCTTTTTTGTTACTGTTGTTCTTTTCTCTTTCTTTCTTTCTTTCTTTTCTTTCTTTTTATTTTGGTTTTTCAGACAGAGTTTCTCTGTGTAGTCCTGTCTGTCCTGGAACTTGCTTGGTAGACCAAGCTGACCTTGAACTCTCTGAGATCTGCCTGCCTCTGTCTCCCAAGTGCTGGGATTAAAAATGTGGGCAACCACTGCCCAATTGTTCCTTTGTTTCTTAAGGCTGCCTTAGGATTTAACTCAGGCTGATCTAGAGCTCAGTATATAGACCAGACCATGCTAGAACTCACAATCCTCCTGCCTCAGTCTCCGGAGTGTTGGAACATAAGTATGTACAGCCACACCTATTTGAAGCCTGTATCTCTTAATTATCTAAGAACCATCTTACCAAAATATAGAATAATTCAGTCAAATTGTGAACATTTCTGAAATGTCAGGAGACAGCCCATTTGATGGATTCCCAAGATTTAGCTTCAGAGAGTGGTTCACACTGGTGTTCTCAGTACTTGAGATAGAAGCGGGAGGGAGGATCAAGGGGTCCAAGGTCATCCTAAGTAACACAGTAAATCTGAGGCTAGCATGGGATACAAGAGATCATGCCTCAAAAAAACAAAACAGCAGCAAACAAAAAGCACATAGGAATTAATAAGTAAAACTTTCAAAAAAAAAAAAAAACAGAGAAGCCTGATTCTCAGCCCGTTATCTCGCTCATCACCAAGTTCTTTATCTGCCTCAGTTCAACATAACCCTCCACTGATTATTTTTAACTTACTGATTTTTATTTTATGTGCATTGGTGTTGGATGCCCTGGAACTGAAATTACTGATAGTTGTGAGCTGCCATGTGGGTACTGGGATTGAACCTGGGTCATCGTCCAGTTGACCCCTGAGCCAACTCTCCACCTTCCCATTATTTCTTACAGAAACATTATAAAATGTTTCCAATCTTTTCTTTTTTTTTTTTTTTTTTTTTTTTTTTTTGGTTTTCGAGACAGGGTTTCTCTGTGGCTTTGGAGGCTGTCCTAGAACTCGCTTGGTAGTCCAGGCTGGTCTTGAACTCACAGAGATCCGCCTGCTTCTGCCTCTCGCGTGCTGGGATTAAAGGCGTGCGCCACCAACACCCGGCTCCAATCTTTTTCTTAATGATATACACAGCACTTTCCATTTCTTATTTGGCATTCATTAAGAGTCACTAAGATACCACTTACAACTACAAATTCCACGCAGGATATAAAGTCTAGTGAACAATGTTACTTCTGCCTCTACATTCCTTACTTTGGTATACATTTTTCCATCATAAAGTTTATTTCAAAGAATATATAATCTTAGTTTAATTATCCAATCTACTGTCTACACACAAGACAGTCTAGTGGGTCTTCACTAATCCCTTATAAAAAGTACCAAGGTCCTGGTAACTAAGAAATTGCTACTGATCAAAGGATTTGATGTTCATGGACCAGCGAAATGGCTCAGAAGATAAAAGAGGATTGTCGTCAAGTCAGACAACCTGAATTCCCTTGGGAATCGTGTGGTGAAAAGAGACAGCTGACTCCTGAAAACTGTCCTCCAACATCTACATGCATGGCATGGCATGCCCATTTCCAAAGAATGACAGACACACAATAAAATTAAATAAATAACATCCATTTAAGTCTCGTTGATCTCAGGGCTAGGAGTGTAGCTCCATGACAGAGCAAATGCATGAGGCCGGGGGCTCAGAATTCCCAGCACTACAAAAGAAGGAACTTTACACACACATCTAAAAAATTAGAGAAACAATACAATTCTATTATCATCTTTCTAAAATCCATTAAAAAGGCATCCTAAAATTGTGTAGAAACAGACTTTCACAATCTTTATAAAGTCACTCTCCTATGACAAATCCTATATACTGTGTAAACATAAGCCTAGAATGACCTCCAAGCCTTTCTTTCTTTTTTTTTTCAAGGAAGAATGACAGATTAGGATCATGACACTTGATCCAATGAAAATGAAATTAACAAAAACACTTAGACCTTAATGTTTCCAAGTTGGGAAAGAAAAAGAAACATTATGAATATCAAAAAAAGATTCATCTTCAATTTAATATCTATTTGAATAATTTCTATACACAGACTTCTGAACACTTGAATATGAAATGACTAAACCACTAACCAAATAAAAACAGCAAAACCGAAACTGTTTCAAAAGAGACTCCTTGAATTCCCTTTGGATACCTCCTAGAAAAGACCCTGACAAGACAACAACCAGAATTAAAAGTCTTAAGCGTCTCCCATGAGGCACTAAGACAACCCCATAACAGAAAGAATTCCAAAGAGGGCTGAAGAGTGGATCAGGAGCAATCAGAAGGAAAATGGAGGCGAACAAAATTATCCTTGCTACTTTTGCTAAAATGATACAAACTTCGAACAACCAAATTCAGGGGGGAAAAAAATCACTTGTTCCCTTAACTTCTGAAGCCTCCAATGACACAATATATATTCCTAAGAAGGAAGAGTTCCAAGCGATCAAATGAAAAAATTACCGCATGTAAAAAGTGACCATTTAAAATGGGAGAAAGAGTAGAGTGAACCGTTAAAGACAAAAAGAAACTAACAGTGCATTAAATGATTTGTCGGGACCGTAGGTTAAAGTCATGTCCTACACCTCAGCCTGTTCCCCCACCCCAAAAAGGCTAGAACCTGACATTTCGTTCCAAGGAGCCGGGGGGCCTTGTTTCACAACCCTCCACCTCCTCAAAGGGGCCTCGGAGGCTGCACTCAGGGGGGTCCCCAGAGCAACTGAGGTATGACATCCCGAGTCCTGACCTGGGAAAAGGAGAGAGGGAGTAGGGTCCAAGAGAGCTCAGCTCCCACAATCTAGGGGTGACGACACTCGTCCAGGACCCAACATCCCGTCTCTACAGAACTCGACCGGCATCCTCAGCATCTCAGATCTCTCCTTCCGGCTTCTTGCTGAGTTCCGGGCCGCCCTCCGGCCGCGCCCCCGAACGCAACCCCCTTCACTCCCAGCCGCCCGACCGTCCGCGCGCTCGCCCACCGGCCAGCGCCAAGGTCTCCTCCTGCCTGCAGCGGAAGGATGCCGGGCCGGGCCTCCCAGGCTCCTCCCGGGCCTACCTGCGAGACGGGTGAGAGCTCGGCCCGAAGGCCAGCGGGCACAGCGAACCACGGACGAAAGCGGCAAGAGGCCGCAGGAAGCGAGGGATCCGCTCGACCGACCGGCGGGAGAAAGCAGCAAGAGCCCGAGACCTCCGGGATAACTCAGTTCAGAACCTGGCACCGCCGCCGCCGCCACCGCCGCTCTGGAGACATCAACCAAGAAGACGCCGCAAAAGATCACAGAACACACGAACGCCCAGACATCAAAGAAAGAGCGCCCCAGCAATCGTTCAAGGAACTGCAGCAGAGTGCCGAATCATTGCTCAGCTCTTGATGCAGGTCTGGCTGCCGTCCTAGGCATAAATAAACAAATCCAGATCATAAACTTCAGCGTAGAATAAGCTATGTTTCTGCCATTTACTGTTGGTGGCCGGGTGTTTAAGTAATTTAGAGAACTAAAGGCTTGAGACCGGTGCACGACTGTAATCCCAGCATTTTAGGAAAAGGAGATATGAGCATTCGAAGTTCAAAGTCATCCTCAGAGTGAGCGCGAGGCCACCCTCGGCTATATGGGACTTTGTCTTAAGTGAAAAAAGAATTAGTCTTTTGTGAGCGCATTGATTGAAGATCAAATCATAGCAGAATAAAACTCATCTTAATAGTTCAAGTGCCTTACACTTAAGACTTCTCACTTAAGACTTCTCAACAAATAAATGGCTTGGTTCTTGGTTTCCTCTCAGAGCTGTAAAGTGCATGAAATGAGGGCCGAAATGAAAAAAACAAACAGTGAACAATCTCAATGAACACTCCAGTTTAGCTTTACAAGCAAATCCAAGAGAAGATGGGGAAACCTTAAGGTGGGAGAGGAAAAAAAAAGTTCCCGTATTGTTTTAAGTATCTCTGTCTCAGTCTGGCGTTGGTGGCGCACGCCTTTAATCCCACCACTCGGCAGGCAGAGGCAGGCGGATCTTTGTGAGTCGGAGACTAGCATGGTCTACAAGAGCTAGTTCCAGGAAAGCCTCCAAAGCCACAGAGAAACCCTGTCTCGAAAAACAAACAAAAAGTCTCTCTGTCGCCCTCTCTCCCTCTTTGTTTTTTTTTCTTTTTTAACCCTGCCTGTCCTAGTTCGAAACTCACAGAGATCCACCTGCTTCTGCCTCCCAAGTGCTGTAATTAAAGCCGTGTTTATTCTATTCTTTCTTAAAGAACACATATTTCTATTTTCTTACAAATATCTAAACCACAAATGTGCTTTTAATTAGCTAACTAGCTAGTTAACCAACTTATTTTTAGAGACAGGATTTCATGTAGCCCATTCTGGTCTTGAATTCTGTGTAGCCTGGTCTTGAATTCTGATGCCTTTGCTGCAAATTACAGGGATGCACCAACCTAGTTGGTTTGTGGTGCCTGAGGGATTGAGACAGCTTTCACGCCACTAGTTAGCCTGGCTGGCTTGAAACTCACCATGTAGCCCAAGTTGGCCTCAAGCTCAAAGCAATTCTTTTGCCTCAGCTTCCTGAGTGCTGGGATTATACGCAACCATGCCTGGCTTGCTTTTTGTTGTTGTTGTTTTTCAGACAGAACCTTGCTATGTAGTCCATATTGCTTCAAACTCATTATCTTCTTCCCTCTGCCTACCCCTGTAACTGTTGAAATTACAGGGATGTAGGGGCTGAAGAGATGGCTCAGAGGTTAAGAGGTCCTGAGTTCAATTCCCAGCAAGCATGTGCTGGCTCACAACCAACTGTTGTGAGATCTGGTGGCTTATTCTGGTGTACAAGCATACATGCAGGTAGAACACTGTATGCATAATAAATAAATCTTTTTTTTAAGGAGGTGGGGTGGTGGTGATGTACACCTTTAATCCCAGCATCCCAGAGACAGAAGCAGGAAGATCTCTGAGTTTGAGGTCAGCCTGGTCTACAGAGTCTCCAAAGCTACAAACCCTGTCTTGAAAAACCAAAAAAAAAAAAAAAAAAAAGAAAGAAAGAAAGAAAGAAGAAATTACAGACATGTGCCACCGTATCTGATTAATAGCTGCTTGTTTCTAACTATTGTACTAGCCAAATTCCATACTGCAATATTGTTTGTAAGTATTGTTCATGTGATAGGTATTTGTTACTCTTGAGAAAAGGCAGTTATAACATTACTATTTATGATTTAGCCTACTGGACATAAGCAAACAAAAAGAATAAAAGACTAGAAATGATGATACATACCTTTAATCCTAACTTTCAGGAGGCTCACAACTTTAATCCCAGTACTGTGGTGGCAGGGGCAGGTGAATCTCTGTGAGTTTGAGAGGCCACACCGGCCAATGTAATGAGTTCCAGGACAGCCAGAGCTACATAGTGAGACCCTATCTCAAAAAAAAAAAAATCCAGACATGAAACAAGGTACAGGTTTACTTTTCAGCCATATAAGAAATCCAGAGATGTATAGTTTAGAGTAAGTCAGGCTACATCCAACTTCTAAGACTAGGTTCCTTCTTGGTGCCTTTCAGTGTTCAATAAATGGCTTTTACCTGTTTCCAAAATAGCTATTGAAGACCAGACTTTGTATCCATATCCCTTACCCAGTCCAGTATCCATATTCCAGCAACCAAAGCTGAAAAAGCAAAGTTAAGTCCCTGTCATTGGGCACATCATAGGACTTTCCCAGTTAAATTCTACTGGCCAGAGCTTAGCTACTTAGCCACACATGTAGAACTTTGCTCTCTGGGCATGATATACTGTTGCCATCTTGAAATAAAGCAGCTCTAATTATCTGCATAAGACCCTCATTAAGATTTGGCCCACTGGTGGATAATGTCCCCTGGTGGAAAAGGAGGACTCAGGAGTCACTGTACCCTTCCTCTACTCAACGATGTAAAAATAGTTCATTGCTGGAGGAGGGCGGAGACTTGAGTGGTGTAGCTGCCATCAATTGCCCATGCTCCTGTGAGTAATCTCACTGTGTCTCCTGTAAGCAACCCTCAGTTAAACTCATTGGCTCCAGTTAGACTCGGGTAGAATCATTTATTTAGTCTGTTAGTCTGCCATTGATGTGTTATTCAGGATGAATAGGTGTTTTGTTTGCATCTTCCCAGGAATAGTCACGCAGCACCTGCTTCCCAAACAGTTGATATAGAGAATCACAGATGAGTTTCTGAGCAAATTGTACAGTTGCTGCTGTGGGTGATCAGACCTGCAATTGAAGCTAAGCCATATGAGGGTAGGGCTGGCCTGGGGGCAGTTCTGATATGGCCATCCTTCCTCCTGGGGTATGAAATGAAATGTCTTCTTGATATGGTGCTATTGCTTTGTCCCTGCTGTGGGTGATGTGACATGTAACTGAGCTGCTGCTCCCTGTGGAGTATTTGTGGAAGAATCCCTTGGTGACTGTCTTTAGGTCAGCGGTTCTCAACCTTACTAATGCTGCAACCCTTTAATATAGATCCTTTTAATACAGATCTTCATGTTGTGGTAACCCCCACCATAAAATTATTTTTGTTCCTACTTCATAACTAGTTTTGATGCTCTTATGAATCATAATGTAATTATCTGTGTTTTCCAGTGGTCTTATTTGATGCCTGTGAAAGGGTCATTCAACCCCAAAAAGGGTTGTGACTCACAAGTTGGTAACTCTGACCTGTATGGTAGGGAGTACATATCTCCTTAATAAATGAGGCCCAGTATAGGAACACTACTCTCCAATGGCTGACACAATAGAGAATATATATATATATATGCATATATATTATAAAAATTTATTTATTATGTATATAATGTTCTGCCTGCATGTACACTTATATGCCAGAAGGGGCACTAGATCTCATTGTAGATGGTTGTGAACCACCATGGTTGCTGGGAATTGAACTCAGGTTCTCTGGAAGAGCAGCCAGTGCTCCTAACTGCTGAGTCATCTCTCCAGACCAAATAGAGAAAATATTACAATCTCTGAAACTAGAACGCATGGAATGGGGTTGTAAACACACTGTGGCATCAGCTATATGTACTTTGTCGTAAGACATGCAACTGAGGTCCAGCTATCTTCTCAGAAAGGAGGTACCCACATAAGGGAAGACTTTCACTAGCTTCTAAATTATCAGGGAAATTTAGAGTAAGATGTGGCAGTGCATGCCTTTGATCCCAGCACGAGGGAGGCAGAGACAGGCAGATCTCTGAGTTTAAGACCAACTTAGTCTATATTTTGACTATATATTTCAGATCAGCCAGGGCTACATAGTGAGTACCAGTGGTTTTTTTTTTTTTTATGTTTTCAAAGCTGGGCAGTGGTGGCATACACCTTTAATCCCATCACTCGGTAGGCAGAGACGGGTGGATCTCTGTGAGTTCAAGACCAGTCTGGTTTGGTGGGGGGGGGGGGAGAGATGATGAGATGGAGTTCCAGTTTTCTGTTTCTTCCATAAGGGAAAGAGTACAAATTAGATTGTGGTAAAGACTGTCTTCTAAGATCTAAAAACTTAAAATCCATGGGAATAATTGGACAGTGGGGGAGGTGGGTAGAAGTAACAGAAAATCCCTGTGAGGCTCAACATTTAATACAGAGGAAAAGAAAATGTATGATTCAGCATGCAGACAATGGCCCAGCATAATCAGGAACTACTCTGCATCTAAACTGCCCAAATTGGGTAAGACTTCTTTAATGATTTATTTTAGCATGTGTATATGTGTACACCTCATGCTTATAGGTGCCCAGAGACCAGAAAAAAGTGCTTGAAATGCCCCCTGGAGCTGTAGTTATAGATGACTATGAGCCTTCTGATGTGGATGCTGGGAACAAAATTTTGGTCGTTTTGAAAATTGATTTTTCTTTCTTAATTATGTGTATATGAGTGCTGAATATGGGTGTATACATGCACACAAAGAAGGTGGAGGTATTGGAGCCCCTGGAGCTAGAATTACATAGAGTTATATAGCAAAACATCTGACTGAATCAGAGCAAGCCAGTAAGTGGCATTCCTCCACAGTCTCTGCTCCAAGTTCCTACACTACACTGACTCCTGTGTGGGATTAACTCAATGATAAGAGTATAAAGTGTAAAATGAAATAAATCCTTTCCCAGGTCGTTTTTTGGTCATGCTGTTTATCACAGCAATAGAAAAACACACTAGAACAAGAGGTGGGGGGACAGAGAGGGAGGGAGGAAGAGAGGGAAGGAGGGAGGGAGGGAGGGAAGGAGGGAAGGAGGGAAGGAGGGAGGGAGAAGAAAAAGAAATGGCTTCATCTTGGAGAAGTTTTTCTGAGTGTAAAATTAACCTTCAATTTGACAATAAATGACTGCTTGTTCTTACAGGTAAGTTGGTTGGCTCAGACTGAACAACAGAGATCAGAGTTGAAATCCTCGAGCCTCTAGGATTCTTCTAACACTGGAGAAGAACCTAATTAGAAACCCAGTGGGCAGAAGTTGAGATCAACCTGGGATGTGCTGATGTCCTTCTCTACACTGGCATGAACACCCAATGACTCATTATTGTGTTGGTTGTAACTGTTGTATTCTAGTAGGCTCTCCTTGTAGAGATACTCCCCTGAAGGTAGTAGGGTAATGATCTCCCAAGTTTCTTCCTGTTATAATGATCAGCTGGACACGACTTTCAGTGCTAAAATTGTGACAGCCCTGAGCAAACCAAGATAGTTGTCCTAAAAATAGACCTTATCACTGTCAATCACAGGGAAAGAATTTAGAAAGACTAAACAAGGAAAAATGGACTGAAGAATGTTAATTTTGAGTCTGTCATCTTTTATACAATTTTGTAAAATCTTGGTAGAATCCAGACAATAAAACAGGCCCAGGGATGTGGACACGCACACCGAGTTAATAGCTTCCTGTTTCTTTTCTTTTCTTTTTCCTAGCACTTAGAAGGCTGAGGCAGGCAGGTGGCAAGCTTGAAGATAATATAGGCTACATACCTTATGAAGGAAACAAAACAGTTTTTGTTAAGTTTTGCAGAATATGAAGTTATAGCTCCAAGTAGAATGCTTGCTTAGTGTGTGCTAGGTTCTGGGTTTGATTTCTCAGCAATAAATAAACAAACAAAACAAAAGCAAACATAGTGACACATGTCTTTAATCCCAGCCCTTGGGAGGCAGAGGCAGGTGGACCTGAGTTTGAGGCCAGCCTCATCTAGAGTGAGTTCCAGGACAGCCAGGACTACACAGAGAAACCCTATCTCAAAGAACCAAAACAAAACGAACAGGTGGCTGGGTGTGACCTTTAATCCCAGCATTCCAGAGGCAGAGACGTGGGTGGATTTCTATGAGTTCAAGGCCAGCCTGGTCTATAGACTGAGTTCTACCTCAGATATGGCTACAGTCAGACTGTCTCAACTGCCCCCTACAAAAAAACACACAGAACGGTACAGTGGCACTTGTCTGTCATCCCGTACTTGGGAGGCTAAGATAGGAAGATTGCTGAATTTGAGGTCACCCTGAGCTAAACCGTCAGTACCAGGCTAGTATGGCAGCATAATGAGATCTTATCTCAAAATAAATAGAAAAAAAATGTAGGAAGAACAAAATGTGATAAAGTCTTCCTGGTGTAATGCTCAAACTAGTTTCCCATCAACTATTTACCCTCCCCCCTCCAGGACCCCCTTGTACTGGTTGAATTCACTCTCCTGCCAACAAACCCACTCCTCACTGGGGAAGATAAGGATGAGAAATAAGATAGCATTTGGGATGGAAATAAACAGCAGACAATAATCCATAATTGTTTTTTAATCTTGAGGATGAGTCACTCTCAATTTCCACATTTCTCCTGTCATCAGCTGTTCACTTTGAAAATCACCAGATTAACAGTGCCAAAGGCAGGTAGAAAATGATCCAAGAGGCCAATTCAGAGGTGTCACATGACGGACTAGTGGCTAAGAAACTGGGAACAAGTCAATCCTCAAGAAAATCTCGTTTTAGTCCCAGCAAAGACACTGATGTGTGAACCTAATTCACACTTCTATTATCCCTATTAGGTTATTTTTACAACAGTGAAATTTTAGAACAAGAGTTGTTAGGGGATTATTTATTTCCTGGGAAGTTCTGCCTATCACTCTGCATATAATATTCTAAAGTCTAACTCCAGAGTTTATTTCAAGCCATGCTTTGAACTTCTGTTTTTTAAAGATGGGGCTCCCACTATGATCCAGGCTAGCCTGGGATTCACTATGAGGTACAGGTTGACTTTGAAATCACAATATAACCAGTTCAGCCTCCTGAGTGCTGGGATTGCACGCATAAGTCACTATGACTGACTCTGAGACCCTTTTTGTCCCCAGAATTATCTTCTGTTCAAAAGGATTACAAAATAGACTACATAAATATTCTCACACCATAGTCATAAGAAAAATAACCAAGGCAGGTCTAGTGGTATAGGTCTATAATAACAGCTACTCACGAGGCTGAGGCAGGAGGATTACAAGTTTAAAGCCTGTCTAGGCTAGTGAGTTCAAGGCCAGCTTGAGCAACAAAGTAATAAAATGAAAAAAAGAAAAGTGAGCCGGGCAGTGGTGGCACATGCCTTTAATCTCAGCACTCGGGAGGAAGATGCAAGTGGATGTCTGGGAATTCCAGGCCAGCCTGGCCTACAGAGCTAGTTCCTGGACAACCAGGCTACACGGGCAAGATACATCGGCATGTAAAGGTGCTTGCTGCCAAATCTAATAGGAGTTTAATCTCTAGGACTCACAAGGTGGAAGAAGAGAAATGACCCGCACAAGTTGTCCCCTGACCTTCACACATGTGCCATGTACCACACACATACAAAATAAATGATTAAGTACTATTTTAAAAAAAGAAATAGCATAGCTACATGTGACTTTTGTGAACTTGTGGGACTCTCTTGTTCATTGAACTTCCAGGGTCTTTAGATCCTCTGTAAAAGTGTAACCGTGGTATTTTATCTATATTAGAATTGCCTTCTTCAAGTTGACTCAGTCCTTACCCCCACTTACTCTTTATGACTCAAGGGCGAACTGGGACATAGAATTAAGATGTTTCCTCTAGGAACTAGATCCAAAACATAGTCCAAATAGTGCAGGCACACTAAGGATGGTGGCTTCCCACTGTCCTTAATGTCCTCTTCAAAACAATCCTGCACATGCAAACTAATAATTCCTTTCTCTTTAATTTTTTTCTTTTCTTTCTTTCAGCTATAGGGATCAATACCTCACACATCCTAGGCAAGTGCTCACTTATATATCTTCTATCATTCCTCAACTAAATTCATTCTTTCTTTTGCCTATATAGAGAGCAAAGGAGAGAAACAAAATCAGGGTAGCAGCCATGATGACTTACACTTGTAATCCCAGCACCTGGGAGGCTGAAGGAGGACTGCTCCAAGTGTCAGACCAACCTGGCTACATAGTGAGCACCATATGGAAAAACTGTCTCAAACAAACCAACAAGAAAGGATGAAAGGAAGGAGGGAATGAGAGGGAGGGAGGGGAGAAGGGAGGAGGGAAACAGAAAAAAATCAGGATCAACACTTTTCATTTGAGATCTCCAGATAATTGAACAACAACAAAATGCTTTGGATATGTGCTGCTTTCTCCTTTATTATGATTTTACTGTTGCAACCAGTGAACTTCAGTCTAGTTGACAAAGTTGCAAGGGCTGGTATACCTACCCCCACACCTTCTCCTTCTAAAACATTAAATGCTAGCTTATGACAATAGTGCACATTCAGTTACACTAGATGACAGACTTGGCCATGGGCTGGTGAGGGGGCAAGTTCTCATACTTCATTATGGAAAGTCTTCCTCCTTCCTCCACCTTGCACACTAACTAAAATGAGTGAGCATTAGCTCCTGCCGGATTCGGTCAGCCTCTAAGTCTAGGGACTCCATTTGCTCATACTCGCCCTCAGGTGGCTGTTCAATGGGTTCAGTCACTGGAGAGGACCAAACATCCATCCCGTGTTCCAGGGAAATGTTGTGAAGGACACAACAAGCCAAGATGATGTTGCTGGATTTCTCCGGTGAGTACTGCAGTGCTCCCTTCGATCCATCCAGGCATCGGAACCTAGAGCAGAGGGTTCGCAAAGTCTTCTCAATCACACTGTGAGTTGCAGAATGGGCCCTATTATAGCGATACTCCGCTGGAGTTTCAGGAATATGAAGTGGAGTCATGAGCCAGGTACGGAGAAAGAAGGAACTGTCACCTGAATGAAAGGCCAAAGAGAACATGACTGTGAATGGATTACAAACAAGAAGTGAAATCCCAGCACTAGGGAGGCAGAGGCAGGCGGATCTCTGTGAGTTCGAGACCAGCTTGGTCTATAGAGCAAGTACCAGGACAACCTCCAAAGCCTGACTGGAAAAACCAAAAAAAAAAAAAAAAAAAAGGAGTGAAATTCAGGCAGGATGTGGTGGCACATGACTGTAATCTCAGTGCTCAAGATGTTGAGGCTAGGAGGACTAACTTAAGTCACAGGCCAGTCTGAACTACACATGACACCTGTCTCTTGGAACAAAAATGGTGAATATGTAAGGAAAGACAGAAAAATACAACAGCCTTTGGTGCCAAAGCATGCCATACCATAATAACCAAGAGAAATATGCTGTCATAAGAAAGTATGAGGAGGGAGTTGGGCATTGGTGGTGCACACCTTTAATCTCAGCACTCGGGAGCCAGAAGCAGGTAAATCTCTGTGAGTTCCAGCCCAGGGAGGTCTACAGAGCGAGTTCTAGGACAGTCTCCAAAGCTACACAGAGAAACCCCATCTCGAAAAACCAAAAGAATAAAAAAATTAAAAAAACACAAAAGAAAGTATGAGGAGGGAACAAAGGAGATGATGGCTCAGAAGTTAAGAGTATGTGCTGGGGGCTGGAGAGATGGCTCAGAGGTTAAGAGCACGGACTGCTCTTCCAGGGGTCCAGAGTTCAATTCCCAGCAATCACATGGTGGCTCACAACCATCCATAATGAGATCTGGTGCCCTCTTCTGGCATGCAGGCATACATGGAGGCAGGATGTTGTATTCATAATAAATAAATAAATCTTAAAAAAAAAGAGTATGTGCTATTCTTTTTTTTTTTTTTACAGGCTTTGCTTTTTATTCCATCAGTGCTACAGGAATGTCTGTAAGTGAATTATCTCACATATTTAAAATATTTTAAAGCATGTAAAATACTCTAACTCATATAATTTAACCTGTCACAATCCTATATAGTGGTTATTGTCATTTTGTGTAACAATGCATTCAGAAATTAATTATACACTAATTCAAGGCTATTCGTCCAGCAAATAAGCACACCCAATTTCCCAAAACACAAAATTCTTCCTGATACACATCTGTTTAGCAGGAAGCAATTATCCACATATACATTTTTTGAGTATGTGCTATTCTTGCAGAGGACCTACATGTGGCTTACAAAGATCTACAAGGGATCATTACAACAATCCATCTCCAGGGAAATAAATACTTTTTTGGTCTCCAAGGATTCCAGGGACACACACATAGTACACATACATATATGTAGGTGAACTCTCATATACATTAAATAAAAATAAATACTTTCAAATAGAAAGCATGAACTACTACTGATTGGGTCCTGCCCCCTCCTTGAAGCTCATTCTCTGCCCATAGTTCTTCATCCCTCCCTCCCTTTTCTCCATGGTGGCAGTGAGGAGGGATGATGAATGTCAAGGCTACAAACCAACCCCAGTATAGGTGGCACGAACCAGTAATGCTTGCACTTGGGAGTCTGAGGCAGGAAGATGCCCAGTGAGGCCAGCCTGGCCTCAAAACATGTCTCAAAAACAATAAAGTGCATCACTGTTAGACGCATAAGGCAGTGTTGACTGACAATACCCTTGACTAAAACCAGTAAGAGAAAAGCTAATAGCGCATGAAATCCAAGTCTGAAAGCATCTGTGGGAATGAAGTAGAAACACAGGAATCAAATCCTTGGCTTTTTCTTTCTTGGGTTCTTATTTTTAGCCATGCTGGGGGTGGGGGTGCGGATTCAGGGCCTTGCACAAGTTAAAAGGGTCTGTGCTATAGCAATAGCCCTCAAAATTCCCTCTTTTTTTTTTTCTTTTCTTTTGTTTCAGACAGCTTCATGTAGCCCAGGCTGGCCTGGACCTTGTTAGGCAGCTGTGGATAACCTTGAATTCCTGATCATCTTTCTTTTACCTCCCAAGTGCTGGAACTATAGGTGTGTACACCACCATTCTCAATGAGTTTTCAAATTCAGAGATACTTTCTTTCATAGTAAAGGGTCAGACGTGGTGGCATTTCTCTTTAATCCCAGCACTCAAGAGGGAGAGCCAGGAAGATTTCTGTGAGTTTGGAACCAGCCTGGTCTATATATGGTAAGATACTGTCTCAGACAAACAAATAAACGACCACCACCACTCCCCCTCCAAAAAACATTCAAACAGGATATCAATTTTACACAGTCTCTAAAGAGTTCAAGAGAAAAAGAAATTCTAACAGGATATCTAAAAACATTCATGAAGAAAATTTCTAATTTTACTAATAATAGCTTTCATGTCTGAAAGCATGACCTAGGGATTTCACACCATTTCACAATGCTCTATCCTCCCAGTGCTGAGAAGAATAAAACCTGTGTCTGCAGTAGCCATCAGAACTCAGTGGTGCTGCATTCCTGGATACTGTATCACATAATTATGCTTTTGTAACAGAGAAGCTGGAGGAACATGAATATGATGATTCAAGCAGTAATAATGGGAAAGAATCAGAAGTGCATTCAAATAATAAAGAAAGCATTTCCTTTAAGTGACTTCCTTATCAAAGGATCCTGGGAAGTCCTAAGAAAAGCAAACAAACTGGGGAGCAAAGTCCTAGTTCAACAGCAATGTCTATAATGTTTAATTGTCCTGACTCATCACCTCACACAAACAAAGCTGCTCACACAGAGGCTTGGCTCCTTTTTTCCCCTCCAGACTGGGTCTCATTACATAGCTCTGTCAGAACTCTCTCTGTAGATCAGGCTGGCCTGGAATTCACAGAGATCTGCCTGTCTCTGCCACCGAATGCTGGGATTACAGGCATAAACTATCATGCCTAGAAAGGTGAAATGTTTTATAAATCCCAGACACTGGGCCCTGAGTACCAAAGTAAGCATTATATTCCTGATCTATCATCAGGTTCAGTAAATAGTCATATGGTTACGACAGAGATGGCCACTGTTCTAAAAATAATAAAAGACTTCTTCCATTTAGAAGCTTATGTTTCTAAGACTGGATTAGCTGAAAATAACTGAGATGTCTCACAAAAATTTAAGGTTTATATTTAGTTAGTTTTCTTTTTTGAGACAGCCTCATTCTGTAGACCTAAAACTCCCTATGTAGCTCAAGCTGACCTTAAATTCACAGCAATTCTCCTGTCTCAGCTTCCCAAGTACTGGGATTACAGGCATGAGCTACCACATCTGGCTTTCTTCCCCACCACTTCTGTTTTGTTTTGAATCCAGGGTCTCATGTAGGTCTGGCCCCTGAACTTCTGATACTCATCTCTACCTCTTAAATGTGGGGTTGTAGGCGTATACCAACTCCACTCTTCTTTGAACTCACTCTTCCTAAAAACTGAATTTTTAAAAATGGTGTAGAACAGGCTATGATAGTATACATGTAAGCCACCACTTGCAAGGCCAGTTTAAGGCCAGCCAGGGCAAAAAAGAGAGGGTGGGGGAGAAATGATGCTGGATCCCAGGTGGCTCAAAATAAAAGTATTTGACACAAATGAAAACCCTGAAGACCCAGGTTTGATTCCTGAAACCCATCTGTGAATGGAGAAAACTAACTCCTCCACATAAATATAAAAATGCTTTAAAAGGACATTATAAACAATAATGGAAGTAACATTTGTAACAGACTTAACAATAACACCTGTGGCATACTGAATTTCTACTATGTAGTAGGGATTGTAATGGGTGAAAAGCACTTTTGGGCTCAGAGTAAGACACCTTCTCAAAAAAAAAAAAAAAAGCCAGCAGCTGGACAGGATGGCTCAGTGGGCAAAGCACTTGCCACATGAGCCTGACAACCTGAATTCAATTCAGTTCCTGGAACTCACATAAGGGTAGAAAGAGAGAACCAATTCCACAGAGTTTTCTGACCTTCACACTAATGCTAAGGGATGTATGCACCCAACACTTAACACATCTCACACACACACACACACACACACACACACACTAAATAAAAACAGCTCCATACTCACTAGCTGCATCACTGGAAAACAGATACTCACGAGGGGATTAGGATCAGATGGGGAAGGGATTATAAATGCTTATGTGGTCACTCAATCACCCATAAGACATTCTGAGAGATCTTACCCAAAGCTGCTTAACAGCACTAGCCTAAGAGCTGAAGGCGTGAGAACTCAAGATGAACTGTTTAGAGAAGTGGTGTGTGGAGACTAGGAATTTAGGTGATACACCTATAGGGACAGCTAAGAATGAGAACGGGAAGGAATGGCTCAAAAGGATCTTAAAGTGGAGTGTAATGGAATGTACCTGTAATCGCAGGTACTTCAAGATGAGCCAAGAGGATCAGGCTCCTGAAGTCAATCTGCGAAACAGTGGGATGCCTGTCTCAGTTAAAAAAAAAAAAAGCATAAATAGTCTGTGCTTCCCAGTTTCCTCTTTTGTAAAAAATTATTGATATTATTTAGCTTTTGTTAAAGCCGGGTCTTTTGTTTCCCTGGCTGGCCTTGAATTTCCATGTAACACTAGCATTCAGGAGACAGGCTGGTGAGTTCAAGGGCAGTTTGAGACCAGACTGGAAGACACATGAAATCCTGTCAAGAGAAAAATAAAAGTACCAGTAGGTGTTGCATGGAACATCAAGCTGGAAATGCATCAGTGTGCTGACAGTGTGCCCTCTAGGAACTGGGGAGGTTTCTCTTTAATGGAGAATTTAAACATGAGAGACAGGTATTTCCTGAGCATCTGCTACATGTTAAGCACCTCACTTTGATCACATGCTATACAGATATGATTAGTGATTTTCCACTAATAGTGAGGTATTCCAACACTAGATAAATTTTTTCCCAGTAAGTTCTCACTATGAGTTTTTTGTTGTTTTTTTTTTTGTTTTGTTTTGTTTTGTTTTGTTTCTCCAGTCAGGACTTCTCTGTAGCTTTGGATCCTGCCCTGGAACTCACTCTGTAGACCAGGCTGGCCTCGAACTC